GATAGATAGATAGATAGATAGACTGATAGATGGACTGACAGACAGACAGATAGATAGATGGATAGATAGACAGACAGACAGACAGACAGACAGACAGACACAGACAGATAGATAGATAGACAGAGATATATATAGACAGATAGACAGACAGACAGACAGACAGACAGACAGACACAGACAGATAGATAGATAGACAGAGATATATATAGACAGATAGACAGACAGACAGACAGACAGACAGACAGACAGACAGACAGACAGACAGACAGACAGACAGACAGACAGACAGATAGATAGATAGATAGATAGATAGATAGATAGATAGATAGATAGATAGATAGATAGATAGATAGATAGATAGATAGATAGATAGATAGATAGATAGATAGATAGATAGATAGATAGATAGATAGATGGATTTTAGTGAAATAAATGGAACTATCATAGCTATATAAAAACAATAAACAACAACGGTCAGCAATAATCCAGTGAGCCGTGTAATAATGTAGATTATATATAATGGATATTTAAATTATTTTAGGACCAGAAACTAATTTGATAGCTGATATTATAAATCTATAATGCATGGTCAATGACTGTATTTAAACAAAATAATGTTTTTACCATTCAAGTTTTCTGATTGCACATTTATCGTCCTACAAGGGTAGCACCGTGAGGGACAAATTACAAGCCAACTAATAATACTTAGCATTAATGGTTAGGTTCAAATCTTTAACCTTTAATTATGAGAAACGGTAATAGTGATCCTGATAAATAGAACTACTAATAAAACTTAATAGGAAAAACCTCAATAAAAACAGAAATAAACTGCTCAAAACAGAACTCCTAATTGTTTAATCTAGGCCTCAGTGTCGGCTTATACCTGTGATGTCCTGTACTTTAGCAGAAGTGCAGTAGTATCGGTGGACTGTCTCTAAGAGCTGAGCCCCGTGTCCTTCTCCCTGGAATGGTGGCAAGACCAGCATCTGGCTACACACACACACACACACACACACACACACACACACACACACACACACACACACACACAGAGTACAAAAGCTTTAGTGATGCTGGACAGAAGAGAAAATGCTTAGGCACAATACCAATTTAAGATTAAAGCTCTTAAGTCTTTGAGCAATGGTTCTGCAAACACAGAGGCCTGTTACACCTCCAGCACCCTTCAGACACAGAATCTACTCAAACTGACACTACAGGCCAGAGGTTTTGCTTAAAGACCAGTTTTACATTCAACATCAAGTGGGGCACAACACTGTAACAAAATTGTTAATCACATAAAATGGAAAGGAGTATATGGAGCTCTTACTGTACTTCAGGAGGGCAAAACACCTTAGTTTTATTCAGAGGCCTAAATTTAGCAAATACATGCATTTTGGTGCAGTTTCTAATATTTTCATGGCCAAAAAGATTAAATTCTGCTTGTAATGTAAATCAATAAAATATTTTTAACAATATAACACTACTGACCTGCATATACATTGTATTAATGCATATAAAATTGTCACTTGATATCTCCCAATAATGTCTTAGTAATTTGATATTTAAAATAAATTCTTAGTTTTATGATCAAAGCTCTGTAGTTTTTATTGCCGGGACAAAGAATGCAATCCAATAAAATGATGAGTGTATGGATAATCAAGCAATCCTAAACTGCTCCAGTCCAGCAAGTATTCATCTGTAAATATTACTAGCAACATAAAAGTGAATCTTATGCTCAATTTACAAAAATCAACCTGAAGGGGGATGTATTTACAATTTAAAAATAACTTTTATTTGATAAAAAAAAGTATAAACTATCAATCAGACGACAGAAGGCATGTAAGAGATTGTGCACAACAGGTTCAACAGCACATTTCTTAGAGACCTTAGAAATTGGCGTATCAAATATGACAAAGCTGAGTTAATAGGCTATGACAATTTGATAAATGCATAAACAACAGCAGTAGTGTGATATGATAAAACAGGGCTAAATATTGCATTTTATTCGCCATATTACTAAGAGAAAGAGCGACTGGAAGCATGACTTTTGACATCAACAACAAAATAAATGGAAGTGTTTTGTCCTGCCATTAAAAAGTTGATAAACCTATTCATTCATACACACCATTATGCACTCAACATAAAAGTGAATCTTATGCTCAATTTACAAAAATCAACCTGAAGGGGGATGTATTTACAATTTAAAAATAACTTTTATTTGATAAAAAAAAAGTATAAACTATCAATCAGACGACAGAAGGCATGTAAAAGATTGTGCACAACAGGTTCAACAGCACATTTCTTAGAGACCTTAGAAATTGGCGTATCAAATATGACAAAGCTGAGTTAATAGGCTATGACAATTTGATAAATGCATAAACAACAGCAGTAGTGTGATATGATAAAACAGGGCTAAATATTGCATTATATTCGCCATATTACTAAGAGAAAGAGCGACTGGAAGCATGACTTTTGACATCAACAACAAAATAAATGGAAGTGTTTTGTCCTGCCATTAAAAAGTTGATAAACCTATTCATTCATACACACCATTATGCACTTAGTTGCAATTCTTTATTTGCATTTAGCATGTTTTTTTCCCTGCTTTAAGAACTAGTTTTGGGTTGCGACCCACCAGTTGAGAATTACTAATACAGACCGTCACACTTCCTTCCGTCCGCCTCGTTTTAGCTGCGGCCATCGGAGGCCCGCCCCCCCGCCCCGGGCCCCCCCCCCCCTCGTCACTGCGGCGGGCCAGTGGCCTGTCGCTGCACCTGCTGGAGACACTGAATGCATTATGCACTTAATTGGTGCACTGCAACTTAGAGCAGAGAGGCAGGCATCTAGCCTCTTCACATCACTCCAGTCCATTTGCCCATTGTCTGTTTTAATAGGTGCCAAAGCAAAGAAAACACAGGCAGAGTCCCCTTCGCTACCGCTGGAGATTTCATTATTCAGCGTTTCAAAAGACAACAACATTCAATTCAGCCTCTTGGCCTGACTCAAGAAAGAAAGAAACACAAGAGCAAACAGCACAAAGGAAACTCTTGCCAGATCAACAATTTGCCTCAATGCAGGAGAAAATATAATTAAAGCAGCCTGATAATTGGCCCCACAAAGGCAGGAGAGACGCCCCGTTCGGACGCTTTACACGTGTGCGTGTGAGAGAGAGAGAGATTGTTCAGAAAGTTACTGTTCACTATTAATTGACACTACCTTTTTATCGGCACTCGCTGGCTTTGTGAGAGCACTTGATTTCCATGTTTTTGCCTGCTGAAGTTATCAACACGAGCCGTGAGTTTTTGCCAACAAGTTACATTTGTTCAAACGCTGAGAAATATATCTGAGAGACTCTTTATTTAGCATTTGTCTGTCAGTGGTTGTCAATTGGTTTTGTTTCTGGACACAGATTTTACATTCAAATTAAGTGGTAAACAAAAAGGTCCATAAAAACAGAACTTTATTAGTCTTACCATGGTCTGCGTGGACTAACAATATGTAAAAAGTATGTTATTAACATGCCATAGGCTAAAAACATTGGATACTGAGCCAAACAATGGAATATTGCATTTTCATCTGGGGTCCAATACAAGAGATAGTTCACCCAAAAATGAAAATTTTGGCATCATTAACTGTATGACTTTCTGCAGCAGAACACAAAAGATATTTTGAATAATGTTGGTAACCAAACCATTCTAGTTACCGGTGACTTGGATATAGATATGGATTAGAAGAAAGTAAGTCATGCATTTGGAACAACATGTTGAGCAAATGATGACAATTTTCTTTTTGAGACAAACTATCCCTGTAAGTGGAAAGTATGTTAGTGTTAAAGTATGAAAGTGGCATGCTGTCAATTACCACAGCCAATAATTTAGATTTTAGTTGATTGTAAAAAATAAACAAAAATTGCACATACAATAATGGACATACAATGGATGTCTATGGGGCAAGACATTTCACCAGGTTTCAAAACAAAAATGTGAAGTTTGTTTTATTTTTTTTTATTCACATAAACCACTCAAAAAGTGTTATTTGACCTGTACAGATGTCTAAATGATCCGTTCAGTGCTGGGATTACTGATCTAGCTGGTTATGAGTTACAGACAGACATTTTTGTGGGCAGATGTAAACATGTTCTGACGTCCTTGCATGTATGATGCAAAAACTTTTACATATTTTTAACATATGAAGACTTGCGGTTATATTATTGAAAGGGTCTGTATTTAAAACGGTTTGTGTCTTGCTTTTAGACAGAAGAGCATTACAAAAAACAAAACGGAGAAATTATTTCCTGTGGTAATGAACAGAAGGCCACACATGCTGTCAATAGTCTCCCCTGAATCAAGACTGTTCTTTTATTATGAAGAAATGTGACAAATATAAGAATACTTCAATGCTGATACAGATTGAATCCAAATCTGATCTGGATTAGACACTCACACGAGGAAGAAATCCCAGCGATCGTCATCCACATCGATGAAACTGGCCGTCTCAATGAACCACATGAGAAAGGTCTGCAAGCGCTCATTGTACTCTCTGAACCCTGGACACGAGATATCCACCTGAAATGATGAACAGCAGATGAAATCCATGCTGTGTTACTGTTCACAAGGAAATGTGCAAGAATGTAATGAAAATGTGCAGTGGCAACATTTCCTAACACTTTTGCATAACATGGTTCATTGAAAAAGTCAGTCTAATAGGATGCAGCAATAAGATTTGTGACCCTGGAGCACAAAAGCAGTCATAAGTTGCACGGGTATATTTGTAGCAATAGCCAAAAATACATTGTATGGGTCAAATTATAGATTTTTCTTTTATGCCAAAAATCATTAGGATATTAAGTAAAGATCATGTTCCATGAAGATATTTTGTAAATGTCCTACTATAAATATATTAAAACTTAATTTTTGATTAGTAATATGCATTGCTAAGAACTTAATTTGGACAACTTTAAAGGCAATTTTCTCAATATTTAGATTTTTTTTGCACCCTCAGATTCCAGATTTTCAAATAGTTGTATCTCAGACAAATATTGTCCTATCATAACAAACCAAAACCATACATCAATGGAAAGCTTATTTATTCAGCTGTCGGATAATCTATAAATCTCAATTTTGAAAAATCTCAAAATTGACACTTAAGACTGGTTTTGTGGTCCAGGGTCACATTTATTAATAAAATAAGTAAAAGTCAGCAAGCCATAAGCGACAGGGTATACAGTTATAAATACAATAATCTTTCATTCAACTTTCTCCACTTCTGAAACGTTTCATTTTCTGCAGGTAACAAAGTCTATGTGAGCAAGATAAGAAATAACATGAATCAGTAAAACCATAGCTTAATACTTTTCACTATGCACGATCCACACTGCCAAAGCTGGTACAATTGCCTGAGAACTCGATCATATTCCAGTTTGGCATTGCCAGCCGTCAAAGCGGTGACTCAAATGCTGTGGGAAACTCTGTACCTTGTGTATCTGGAAGGTGAGATCCTCTCCTGCCTCCACATTGTGAACTTTGTAGGTGTGCAGCAGGCTGCCGAAGGGTTTGAAGTTGGCCTCTTTCTCCAGGAGAGAGATGAAGTCATCTGTGTTACAGCAGAAACCAGCAGGAATGATCGCTCTGATCTTGCCCTCCACATCATCTGGCTGAGAACAAGCACAGAGAAAGAGCGAGCTGCCTTTAAATGACTAACTACCAACATTTGCAACGAGAGAACAGCATTTATGCAAGAGACCAGAGTGTATATTACACTTCAAACAAGAGAAACCAAGTCGATATTTAAACTTCTAAGAATCACAAGAAAAGAACCGTGTGGATTTGAAGTCACACTGAATTTACTCAGTTTAAAGAAAAAAAAGAGTGTATATGTTAGGGATGCACCGAATGTTCGGCAACCGAAATTATTTGGCCGAAAATAGCAAAATAAGCGAAAAGACCGAATAAATTGTACCGCACAATGACGTGACGCGATCAAATAGCAACCAGCGTGAAGTGAGAGGCGCGCACTCTTTATAATGCAACAAACATGTCTGCAGTGTGGAAGCATTTAAACTGTCCGAGAAAGACGCAAAAATCGTTACAAGCACCGACAGCGAGAGACTGTTTAGTGCTGCATCGCATGTCTTCAATGAGAAGAGGAAGGGGTGATTGTTGCTGGTTACTGTATGATGATTGAAATCTTGAAATGGCCTTCAACAATTAGTAAATTAATGCATTGCATGTATTCTGACAGCGCTGCACGAACTCGCGGCGGATCTGCTTGTTAACCAGGGCGCGAGGAAAATCTGTGCTGAAACAGTAGTACTCGTCAGTTGCTCGGTCACATTTTTATGAATTTTTACAAGCCTGTGTCTTTCGCAGCTTCTCGAACATAACGTGGTTTAGTTGGTGCTAGTTTAAATTTAAAAAATGCTTCTACAAACAAAGTTTAATCTGCAGATATGGCCTTGTTTAGGGATCTGTGTCTTTGTGCATACGGACTGCTGAGTAGTGATTGTGTTTTTCAGCAATAGTGTGCAGCCTTCATTTACAGAGAAAAGAAGGTCCGGGAAAAATCTGCATACAAGTTCTTTGTGCATTTTTCTTTTTTTTCTACTTTGCACTTAGTTAGAACATGTTTATTTACTATTTTTTCAGGTATCTAATATTTTGATAATTTCCACGATCTAAATATTCTTAAAAATTAAACGTTTGTTGTCATTTGGAAGTGTGTAGGCCTTCTTGCAGTATTATGCTGTTACATTATGATTAAATATTCAGTGGCATAAAATGGTCTTTAAAATGACATTAATATCGCTTATCGCAATTTTTTCGGGGGCAATATATCGCACAACAAAAAGTTGCTATCGTGATAGGCCTAGTCTGATGGGCAAAAAATATTATTTTACTAACTTATTAATTTTAAGTTAAAGTGTGCTTTGTTGGTATAATGTCTGCTAGAGTGTTAAAAAATGTTCAGTGTAAAATATTTTTAAATTGTTGTTTTGTAATTGATTATTTTCTTTGGAAAGCAAGACAAAACAGTAAAAAGCACATTTTGGATATTTAATTTATGCAATGGTGAAAAAAATTGGCAAAATACATGGGGGAAAACTTGAAAAACCGTGTTCGGTATTCGGCTCAGTGTTTCATTTTGTTCAGTTTCGGCTTCGAGCAAGAATTTTCATTTCGGTGCATCCCTAGTATATGTGGAAAACAACTGTGTTAACATTAACGGATTTCTTTTGCCCTCCAAGGCTGCATTTACTTGATCAAAAATAAAAACTACAATATTGTGAAATTTTATTACAGTTCAAAATAGCCAATTTATATTTAAACATATTGTAAAATGTAATTTATTTCTGAATTTTCAGCATCATTACTCCAGCCTTCAGTGACACGTGATCCTTCAGAAATTACTCTAATAAGATGATTTGCTGCTCAATAAATATTTCTGATTATTAACAATGGAAACAGTTGTGCTGCTTCATATTTTTGTGGGAACTGATGCATTTTATTTGTATGTTTTGAGCATTTATTTGAAATAAAAATCTTGTTTAGAAATTTTTAAATTTTAATGCATCCTTGTTGAATATATTTTAAATATGATTTACATATGAAGAATATGGCATTTTGTGTTACTTTAATAGTTTATTTTGGCCTTTTAAGAGCTAAACAGCCACTGGTCACTGTCAGATTTCGTTGCACATAAAAGAGCGGCTTGAAACATTCTGCTAAACTCCTCACTTTTTGGTATATGGAACAGCATGAGGGTTAGAAAACGGCAGAATATTGCGCCGAACTACCCGTTTAAAGGCAAACATCAGCACACGAGACAGAATGTGTGCATCTCTATAGAGGTAACACGCATTCATCTTAATCTAAAGCACGTTTCAAGCTCCCACAGAGCGAGAGCGGTTAACTCAGCTGTGTCTAGTATACAGCGAAAGCAGCTGAATTTAATCATATAAACTGAAGTGGCACATTTATGAGTTATGCGTCTATTCCCCCGGCGCTCGGCCTTACATATAATCACAAAAGAGCCCTAACAGAGTAATTCCCTATTGTTCTGTCATTAAGCTATACTTCAGCTGTGATTGGCACGGCGAAAAAAGGAATTAAAGGAAAAAAATACATATTTTTGTGGCACAAAAAGGAGACCCATTAGGCAATTAGCAATGTCAGCTGAGGAGTTTCCAGCCCCCCCTCCCTTCCTGTGCCTCCTCTGAAAGACCACTTAATTGAATTCATTCACTACTTATCTTAAACCATGAATATCAGATGAAGTTCCCCCCACCGTAATGTGTCCCAGCTTCTCACCGGGCAATAAAATTTAATGAATTGATCTCGACTTAACAAAAAAATAAAAAAGCCCGGACATGTATAATAGGCTCCTGTGTTGTGAGGCTGGTGAGCGAACTCAATCAAACGAGTTTGCCCTCTCCATTCACGGGCCCCGGGGCGGACAATAGCGCCGCCCCCCTCCTCCAGCCTCTCTGGGATTTTTTTACCCAGCAGAATGCGCACCCATGTTTGCATTGTATCCATTTCCAGCGGGGCTGACATGAGAACACTTTGTATTAAGTTGCTAAGCAGGGCCCTTTGGCCGCGTGATGGGCTGCGCTTGTGTCGCGGGACTCTTCATTCACAACGGCCACAAAACACACGACAAAAGGCTAATGCAACACGCCGCTAATTCCTGCTCATTCAGACATCAGCTAATATCAGAAGGGGATCGGTGCACCTGCAGCTCAGTAACACTCACTATTGTACCACTGCATTACGGGAGCGAAGAGAGGAACGACAAGAACGGAGCAGACAGAAAATGGCAAAAACAGACCGTTTCTCGGGCAAATTGTTCAATCGCGCAAATAAAAGCACGCCATTGTGGCGTTACCGTATTAACTAACGCCGCTTAAGGATCCGAGACTCTTCAGAGCTTTGAGAATGCGTCGTCTTCAACAACAGCATTGAATCCAATCACACTGAAAAAAGCCCTTTTAATCAAAGACATCTTCATCTACGAGGAAAAAAGATGAAAAAAGAACACAATATGAGCAACGCTGTAAATAAAAGACATAATAAAATCAACTATCCTCAAACAATAAACACCTTAAGTATGTTTAGCGGCTATAATTACATGCCACGCTTAAAGGTGGAAGACATTCAGAGACGCCACTAAACACAGTCACGTGGTGTCAGCACACAATATATAATTAGGTCTAATACTAATAAGTTCAGGTCTGGTTTTAATCAACTACCTTGCAACTGCAAGCTTGTTCTAATACTGTGGAAAGGATGAGCTGCAATATAGGTCAGTGTGTCTGTTAAACACATTTGCTCTCTGCAAAGGGTTTTATTATGGAATGAGAGTCTGGGATGGTGTGAGTTAGGCCTAGAAACTGTGTGTGTGTGTGTGTGTGTGTGTGTGTGTGTGTGTGAG